GACACGGTACTGCAGATGAGGCCTCACCAGGGCTGAGTAGAGGGGCAGGATCACCTCCCTCGACCTGCTGGCAACACTCTGCCTAATGCAACCCAAGACACCATTGGCCGCCTTGGCCACAAGGGCACATTGCTGATTCATGGTCAACTTGTTGTCCACCAGGACTCCCAGGTCCTTCTCCGCAGAGCTGCTCTCCAGCAGGTCAGCCCCCAGCCTGTACTGGTGCGAGGGGTTCTTCCTCCCTAGGTGCAGGACCCTGCACTTGCCTTTGTTGAACTTCATAAGGTTCCTCTCTGCCCATCTCTCCAGCCTGTCCACGTCCCTCTGAACGGCAGCACAGCCTTCTGGTGTATCAACCACTCCTACTAGCTTAGTATCATCAGCAAACTTGCTGAGGGTGCACTCTGTCCCTTCCTCCAGGTCACCGGTGAATAAGTTAAACAAGACTGGACCCAGGACTGACCCCTGGGGGACACCGCTAGATACAGGCCTCCAACTAGACTCTGTGCCACTGATGACAACCCTCTGAGCCCTGCCATTCAGTCAGTTCTCAATCTACTTCACTGTCTACTTATCCAGCCCGCACTTCCTGAGCGGGCCCATAAGGCTGTTAAGGGAGATAATGTCAAAAGCCTCCCTGCATCCCTGAGCCCCAGACTGAAGAAATCAGCTACGAAAATTAAACCAGACTCCTGCTTGGTGTGTCCAGCCTGCAACTAACTCCACTCTGCAGCTAACTCCACTCTAACCAAAAGGATACTCTGGGACCCATTACATGTTTATCTGGTTGTGTGCATAGATGTTTGTATGGCTGGATCTAAAGAAAGCTGGAAGAAAAAGATGAGGAGGAGCTTGCAGTATAACTTGTCACGTTGTCTTGCACTTGATGTACGATTTCTATTCTTCTCTTACATGTTTTGGAATCATTTGTTTGTGCTAGACTTAGGACATATTTCACGTAAGTCAGACTTGCAACATCACTTTTTTTACTGAAAGCTTCCCTATTATAATCTTAGTGCCTGCATTATGGTTATTCTTTATATTATAATCTGAGACAGTCGTGTCAGAAACCTCACCAGTTGTTGTGTGATGAAGACGATGGTGATAGCAGTGATTCTGACTCCTAGCGTTAGTAGCATTGAATTGTGGTATCATTGCATAATTCTTAAAATGTAGGTTCAGGCTTTTTTTTTTTAAAGTGTTATTAGGCATAATTTGAGCACAGAAAGGCTTTAAAAATTTACAAGGAGTAGGTTTTCTGTGACTTAGAATTTTTCAGCACTGCTGTGCTCATAAGAGGGAATGAACGAATATAATTACTGAGAAACGTTTCTGAAGTATTGCCCAATGTAAGTACTCAGGGCAAAATAGTCTCCAGGGTAGAAAGTTGATTAAAAGCTTATATTCTTTGATGCCTATGCATTTTTTTAAAAACACTTCAGATAATTTAGCCACAGAAATCTCTTTAAAAGTCCATCAAAAACAAGTGTCGGTATATGTTTTGGACTTTCAGTTTTGTTTCCTGCAGAGAGACTACCAGTGTATTATTGCAGTGGTAGGCTCTGAAATTAGTCTAAAAAGTGATAAATCTAATACTGCTTTTTTTGATAGCAGTTTTTCAGTGGATTCCAAGAAACATGATCTGGCAAATGCATATTTTTGAAAGTGCTTGAATTAAGGTATTTCCTTCAATTTATGAGATTCTCTGAAGATTTCACTTCCAGCATCTTAAAGATTGAAGGTGAAATGATTATATTTTCCTGGAAACCTACTAAATGTTGCTGTATAGACCATCAGATAATATTCACCTCCTTATAGGACTCTCTACCAATTCCTATAAATATAATTTCAGCAAAAAGGAAGACCGATAGCAAGAGATCTTGAAGAGAAGATTCACCATGGATCTTATGTTGCAGGAGAATGTATAGCCTGCAAAATTAATTCAAATTACTGTATCAGTCCTTGACCTTACATCTAGAGTCTTACAGCTGTTAGTCTTGTTTCTGACTACTTTAATTTACAAGATTTTCTTAATCAGATTTCACCTTCATTTTTTTTTCTGTTCTGTAAGCATCTATAGCCATGTACAAATTTGTGTTGTCATTCATTCTCACTAATGTTTTGAATCACTGTGCTTTTTTCCTTTGTTGATAATCATTTAATATTTATGAAAAGTAAGGGAAGAAAAATCCTGTCATCTTTTCAAGATGTTTATTCTTTGTCGTTTACTGAATATGCTGCTTTGCAGCATTTTGCTTCAGGATCAAGAATAAAACAACTGCTTAATTATATTTTATTCCTAATGCAAATTTGATCTTTCACTGAACTGACTTTGTGAATGTATTGTACTAGAACTGCAAGAGGTCAAGGTTAGAAGTGGGTAGCTATGAATCCTGGTTTGCCCTGTATAGAGCATTGCAAATGTGTAGACTTTTCACTACCTTGTTTCAGGAAGATAAGTTTGCCTTGTTTCTGTTGATGCTTTAATTGAATACTGTCCTTAACATCAGTTAGGGCTGCTCTTTAAAGAAAAGATAAAAGAGATACCTGTGCTGGCAGAACCCTCACATTATTCTGAATAATAGACTGGGCATGACAATCTTGACTGCAGTTACAGGAAGGGACTCAGGAACTGGAGGTCCTCATTATTCAATGTGAGGCATGGCATAATTCTGCAGTCCTGTCTGACTCACTCAGTGCTTCTGCCTGAGTAAGGATTTGAAGGATGTGCTTGATTGTATAAAGAGTTTCTGAGATTTTTCTGCAGAGCACTCTTCACTTCAGATTTGTATTAAAAATGTTGACGTTCAGCTGAAGTATTGTAGAATCAAATTCTTGCATTGTAACTTGTTTTGACTTCTTCATTAAAGCTGAGATTATCTTCTTTGGTGATGACCAGCTATTATAGATAACTGTAATACATCACTGTGCCCTGCCTTAAACAAACTGTGCTCTTTTGAACGTTGATTTTTCCTTTTCAGTAGGCATTTTGATTTAATACGCCACAATACAGAATGAAACGCAAGACAGCCATGACCAGCTTCCCCTTATCAACTCTACCAAGCTGTATTTCAGATTTGGTGATCTTGCTGCGTATTCATAATATCATAACAGTTTCCCTAGCACCAGATGTTCTAACATATAGTATGAATGTGGATAATGGTGGTAGTATCCAGGAGTACAGAGAGCTTCATTAAGTTAAGGGTTACTGATTAACGTAGCGCGCACCATCCTGTCTGTAGCTTGGAGAAAATTGCTGGGGAAAAAAAAGCTGTAAATGAAAGGTGTAGTTGTTTTACCAGCATTCCACATGATAAGAGTAGCTCAATGAAGAGAGATCTCACAAAAATACAAGGAGCTAAGATAAAAGGATGGTAAGGGAAGGGACAAACATTGTTCCTTAAGTGAACTAGGAAGAAGAGAGGAGATAGTGGATTAGAGATATGGCCTGAAACTCTTTTTCCAATAGTTTATTCTGTCTCCATTAGTTGAAAGCATGCCAGTAGTTTGCTGTTCAGCATATAAGGTACACTGAAGATGCAAGGTATATGTTGTAATACTCTACTGTGATTTTAAGTCTCCTGGTTTTGTTTTGACGACTTCTTCCATGCTATGGAACTTTCTCTAGTGTTTTGAACAAAATGACTAGCAGATGTCATTCTGACAAGCTCTGACTGTTACTTCCTTAATTTAACTTACTGTAACTGTAACCACGCTTTTAATCTTCTTCTTAGTTGCATTAAGTGCAGCACTGCATAACTGGTTACCCAGTAAATTCACCTGAAGTTTCAGACAGTGCAAAAATCCGAAGAACTGCCCATTTGCTGGTCAAAGGAGGTACCAGTTCTTCAGTGCACAGATCCATCTGTTTCCCTTTGCAAATTAAAGTGCTGTCACTATGCACCTTTAGTCTCCAGTGAAACTGCTTAAAAGTATTTGCATTCTTCAGTCTTCAAAGTTCAACTTTGTCTAAATCTGAAGGGTTTAGGGATTTCAGTGGTTTAGCTGCATAATCAACATCTTCTGCAGGAAGTAAATACTTTTGTTTTTTCTCAGAAAACTTGGTTAGTTGAAGTATAATATTTCAGTGGGAAACTTTCAAGCAGCCTTAATGCTAAGATTTAAATATCCACTGGAGAGTGGAAATGCAAAGCCTTCAGCTTTGAAATTCATTTTTCCCATCAACTCATCAGAGCTTGGAAAGTGCTGACATTAGCCCTGTAATCACTAGTGCACCTATCCTTTGGGCAGAAGAGCTGCTCTGTCACCAGATAGTGCTTTTAACTCAGTACTATTTAACATGGACAGTTTGACTGCAAGCTGAGCAGAGAGGGAGATCGTGATTTCTTGGAGTTCAATACATAAAACTCTCTGCATCTAGGTTGGTCTGTGTGCTGTGGAGGATGGGTAGGAAACGCCATCAGTCAGCATCTGTGAAGTAGAGATGTATTGGTCCAGCACTAGTTGAAACTAGTTGAAACTATTTTATTTGTAAAAGTATACGCTGGCATTGAATTCATTTTTCGCTGCTTTTTGACAAATCTCTGTTTACAATCAGATGCAGAAGCTGTGTATGAAGAAGAAAGGCATTTGCTGATGAAATCAAGCCCTTGATCTAGACCCTGTTAGGTCAAGATCTTTTTCTGTTATTGCCAACACTAGGCAGTGAAAAATCAGTCCCTTTCTTTACCTCTCAGCATAAATAAATACATAAATTGAGAGTAACGCAATAGAATTGTCCAATTTACCTGTTCTTTGGGAAGGCTTTTTGGGTTTACATAAGACTTGAGATTGCTGTATGGTCTAACCTACTTAGAGCTTCTATACCTTAGGTAAAGGGTGTGAAGACTTTTATCTAGGATTCAGCTTTCTTGTTTCTTAACCCCAAAATAAATAAATAGGCACAGTTTGTTCAAACCAAATTGCAGAGGTTTTATTCAGCAATTAGTGGGAGATACTATCGATCAGAGTCTTATACTTTCTTCTTTTCTAATTTTCAGATGTATATCACTAACACAGTAAAAGCCAGAGGAACAAGGCTTGCAAAACCTGTTCTGTGCTTGAGCTTAATGTGCTTGGCTTTCCTTACTGGAATCAACAGAGTAGCAGAGTATCGAAATCACTGGTCAGATGTAATAGCAGGATTTCTAATCGGAATATCTATAGCCGTGTTTTTGGTAAGTGTATATTTGTTTCACTTATAGAGTGATTTTTTCAAACAGAAGTTTGTACCTCTTAACAAGTATTGGTAGATGAGACTTTGCAGGCAATTAAGTGTGAAAGAGGTGTTTCTATTCTTTTAATTAAAGAAACAGTTCCCTTAGCTATATTTTCATAGACTCAGAAATGTCAGATCAAGAAATGACTGATACGCTTATCCTTTTTGACTTATAACCCTGACCGTAGAATTTCACTCAATAATTTTTGCTACTTTGAGCAAGTGAATATCCCTTAGAATAACATTTAGTTTAGATTTTGTGTATAAAGTATTAAATTTGGTATAATGATTCCTGCACTGATCAGAGAATAAGTAGCATCTCTCTTCTGGCTTTAAAATAGCCCTACTGAATTTCTTTAAATGTTCATTCAGATATGAGTTGAAATTTTGTTATTCTGAAGTAAAAGATCCTTGTTCAGCCTTTTACTTTTGTGGAACTGTGTTCTGATACTGGATCTTTAGTCACAGATCACTTTGACCAGTGTTTTGTCAGCAAGCTACCACTTATCTATTAATCTGTTAAATTTGCTGATAAGTTCAGTGCAAGACCATAACATAGAAAAGTTACAGCTGTTTACTGCTTGCAAGTTTGTCTGCCTGGCACCTCGTATTAGTACTAAATAAACCTTTGAATTTTTTTCCCCATAAAAACGTTTTTGAACTTGATTCTTGGATTTCATTGAGCTTTGCTTGGCTGAGAACTCACACAGGGATGTCTGAGAAGGTGGGTGTTTTCACCCATCTGGTAAATGTGTGGGCAGCTTTAGGTCTCCTTAAAATATACCTGCTGACACTTCCAAACATTCTCTTCCACACAAGGTGTCCTGGGGTCGTATTTGATTGTTTGTTTTTAAGAAGTTTCCCCATTCTGTTTGTGTCTCCTGAGCTATAAAAGGGAATAGAATAGAACAGATGTCTGTTCTCATATTTTTTCTTATATTTTGTTCTATATACTGCATAATCCTCTTTAACTAGCGCAACATCAAATTTAGTTGTATTTTGAATAAAATACAATTGGCAAACTTTGCCGCTCAGCTGAACTTCTGAATCAGCAGAGAGCACTAACAAACTGGGAATTCATTAGCTCTTCCTGGGAAAACTGTATATTATGTGAATAGCATCATTAAACTCGCAAAACTGATAGCAGAAATATTTCCATTTGAACAGGTATTTTAAGGAAGCATTCTAAAAAAGTAAATCACACTGATGAAAATTTTCTGAAAATTTGCAGTACACGTTAATTAGCTATTGAAAAGAAAGAATTACAAAGCACTGAAAGTTAGGATTTTTTGGTTCTTACCTGTCAGCTGCAGGAAATATTTAATCAGTTTGAGGGTGTACATTTCAAACTTATCCGTTATTGCCTACATAAATTTGTGCTTTGCGTGAACTATTAAAGTTTCTGTTTTAAGATCCAGTGTTTGCAAAAAAAACTGATTAATAAGAAGTGATTGAATGATATTAATATACTGTAACCTCACAATCTCGTTAATAGCCATTACCACTTGAAGAAATTTTGAGTGGTTGTGATGCTGTCAGACGGCGCTGGGTGATAATCATTTAAATTGTGCTGTTTAGATAGATAAGCTCTTTAAAGTGTTCTCTACCTTACCCTGAACGTGTTTCAGTGTATATCACATTCCTAAACCCTTGTATGAGAGTCTCTGCTATACTTGCTGCTGTCCTGAGCAGGCTTGGAGTTCAGAAGCACAGGGTTGTCCTAGGGCAGGCAGCATGCCTCAGCTTGACCGCAGTATGTAGTATCATCGTGTCCTGTCCTGCTGCCTCTGCCAGGCTCTGCCCACGCAGATCCATGGCCAGACAGACGGCCCTGGCTGTGCAGACTGCGAATGCCTTCAGGACCGCCCTGACAGGCTTCAGGTGGCTCATGACAACTACTGCTCCTCCTGTCCGTGCCCTGTGCGGGCCCACTGCCTCCCATGATAGGGACCTTACAGTGCTATGCCATCTCCATGCCCCGTGTGACAGCCCCTGCCTCTGGCAGTTCTGTAGCATTGTGTTTCCCTGCCTGGGGACCATCCTTGCCTTCTTTTCCTCCCTTTTGCACTCTCCTTTTGAGAACTTCTTTGCTGGTCCCAATTTAGATTGTACTGGCCCTTCATAGGAACTTAAGGTTATTGTCGCATTTCTCTGCCCATGCTCTGGACATCAGTTCATTGTATTGTTAATAATTGGTATTGTATTACTTAGCTTCAGTACTAGATCTGCTTTTAGATAAGAGGATTTTTAGCAATAAATTGCTTGAAATTCCTTTATCTTGAAATACTAATTAGGTTTTTTTCTGTAAAACATGAACTTTATGTATCTATGTTTCTCCTGTAAGCTGTGACCAAAGCTGGTATCTGTTCTGCCTAATTATGAATGTCAGGATCAAAACTCAAAAGAGGGAGTTGTTCCTTAGCTATTCTGTTTATCTTCTAATCCCTTTTAGGTTGTTTGTGTGGTAAATAACTTCAGAGGACGTCAGCCAGAACAGGAACATTCTCATATGGATAGTCTGGCCCGGATGCCAATGATCAGCATCCCCCGAGTAGAAAGCCCTTTAGAAAAGGTAATGTCTAACTTTTTCTTTTTAATGTTGAAATAAAATGTAGCTTTGCTGGAAAGGTGATTCCAAACTATCTTGACAAGAGTGCCAAGGACGTAAGATGTAAAGTAAGGAGGCATAGCAGTGAAGAAGAAAGAGAGGAAGAATTAATTCAGAGAGACTCCTACTGGGAGACACTTTGTTTCACTTCCAAAAACAAACTCTACATATCAGTCTAGTTTACTGTATGGCTGCTGCTTACAACAACTGCTGCTAAGTCCATGGAACTGGGCAGAGTAGATTTGAGGCCCTCTTTCCTTGAGTTCCTCCAGTGGGTTTGATAGACATTTTGGCTTAGAATCCCTAGAGCTTGGAGTGCTTAGAAAGATGAGATCTAACACCTGAGCCCACAGCCTTATGTGGGGTTATGCAGTATATTTACCTGATTTGTGTCATTTACCCTTTTTCTTTAGCGTAGGTCCTGAGACTAGTGTGCAGGATGGAATGCAGTCACCTGTGGATCAGCTGTGGGGCTTTTATCATCAGGCACCTTTATAGCCCAACAAGGAGCTGTAAAGCTCCTTTCTGCATGGGGAGTACGTGGCAACTCCCCAGGCAGAAAGGCTGGGGATCTTATATTTGCACTAGCAATGTTGCTGTAGTGGGGACTGCACCATCAAGCCAAACAATTCAGTGAATGTGATAATTAAAAACAATAAAATGGGCCTTACGTTAACTGCACAACAGCCATCATGTCTTGCCAAAAGCAAATGTGATTTTGGATTAGAACATACTAGCAGTAGTCTCCTGGGTATGTCAAGATGTTTTGCATGAATAAGTATTGCATTGTGTTTAAAATTCCTTTTAGTTTCTTGTAATAAAAAATCCTGGTTTTGCGAAGGTGTTATTGTACTGCGTCAGTGTTCAGTAAGGTTATGTCAGAAGAATTCTGTGAGCAAACAAGCACTGAAATAAATAGCATAACAAAATAAAGAGAATATTTTAGACATTTTCACCTGGAGGAAAGTTTGAGCTACTAATGCAAATTTTAAAATCCTAATTTTTCTAATGAGTTTATCTGTCATTTTTTGTTAAAATCTCTTCTATTATGCCCATGTTCAAAGATAGTAAACAATTCTACATTGTGTAGGGCACCAGGACTATGTTTTTACAGCATTCTTTTTAATCCAAATTACTGGTACTACATCTTTTTTGTATTAAACCTAAGAAGAAATCTTGTTTTTAGCCATTTCCCAGGCTGTATTCGTCACTCAGAATTGGTGGAAGTTGTCGTTATATTAAGAATTGCTACTAGCCCTAGGTTTGCTATTCATTTGCTTGGGAGGGAAAGGAGAATTCTTTTCAGAATGATCTAACAAGCCCTTCTGAACCAAATATGTCTAAGCTACTTCTGGTATTTTGTGCTGAGAAGGTCACAGTCTCATTTGCTTGAACAAGCAGTTAGATGATGAATGTACATCTTTAATATATTTCGTTCTGTAAACTCTGTAAAATGTCGAAACAAAACAAGGTGTCAGTTCGCCTAGAACATGCCATACTGATAAGAACGCTCCTTATTATGTGCTAGGCTCTCCTAGGATAAAAGGCATTTGTGCAGCCGTCATAGGTCATAAATGTAGACTCTCTGCAAATTCTGCTCATCTGAGTTCCAGTTTGGCTGTTGACATTTTTTGTTTCTTCAGCAAATAAAGACTTCATCTTATCTGGGTCGTTCTACCCAATTTGAGACCCTCTTGTTCATAAGGAACAATGTTATCTTTCTGAGACTTGATCTAGGCAAGACTGAGATGGTGATGGGGAAGTTACAGGAGGGTGTGGCGAGAGTGGCTGCAAGAGTAGTATGACCTGCTTGAAGATGACCCCTACAGTCTGTGAATTGCCCAGGACTCTTATATGAACGACTTTCTTTCCCTCCGAACTCACATTCGCACTGCAATGGAGAGTAGCTCTTTACAATTATGAGACATCTCCAGTTAATCAGGGAACTGCCGGGAAGGTGTTACACTTCATGTGATCGCAGATTATGGATTCATCTTTCTCTCTGTTGCAAAGCCTTTCTTCTTTCTAGTCAGAGAGGGTGAGATGGGAGGATTAGTTATTTGTTGGGAAATACTTTCTTCCATTTCCACCTTGTAGAAAATTTGAATTAGGATTAGCAAATAATTAATTATATCTGAGTGCTTTAGATGTTGAGCTTTTATGATTTTTAAGTGTTTAGTCTAAGGTTTTTGGATAGGAGCCAGACCCTGTTAAATAAAGGGCAGTAGGAATAATACTTATGAAGAAGTAGGGTCTAAATATGGCTCAATTAACTGCCGTCACCACAAGAAAGATTAACTTAGTCTTTGCTTCTTACCTGCTTTCTTATTTTACATCCTTTGTTCTCTGGGAAAGGAGACATGCTAGGTAGTTGGTGTGCCACTTTCCTTTTGCCTACTTTACCTATGTGTGAGTTACTTTTCACTTATTCCAGATAGGGCTTTGCCAGTTCCACATTCTGAATGCTCATACATTCATATTTGGCTTATTTTAAATCTCTTTTTCTTTATTCTCAGTCTGCAAGCTCCTCTGCCAGTATTAAAGGCAATTTACTGGCAGAAATTAACTACTAAGAGTGACACAGATCCTGACTGACTGAAGTTATCATGGGCTAAGGCAGCGCTAGGATGAAACAGTACAACTCCATTATTTATATTTAAAAATAATAATCACATAGGTATCTGAGAGCAAGCAATTCAAAGATGCTGGCACACAGAGCAGCGCAGGGAGTCCTGTCTGGTCCCTTCGGGGACTGTCTGGTCCCCATCTCTCCGGTGAGAGTAATCTCTTGTCACTGAGCTCACAGACTAAATGCAAGACACGAAAATGTTTTAGCTTGTCATGTTATATTCAAAGGGGTGAGAGGGACTATATCTTTATTTCAGTTGCTCAGAAGTATTTTAACTGAAAGGCGTGCAAATACTGTTGTGTTTGAAGTACAGAAGAGTACCTAGGTAGCCATACAGGCAATGTTTTAGTACATGGATGTGTATCTTCATGAAGGCTTGACTAGAGTGCCTGCACTTATATTAGCTTACTGGCAGTTTTTCAGATTCCTGTGTCATAGCGGTTCTCTCTTGATAATTTAGTGTGTAACAAGGCTTATAATCAACACTTTCACACACAGAAGCACATACCTAGGAGAGGCAGCTCATAAAAGACCACAGAAGCATTTGAATTTGCACTTGTGTCCTGCTCTTCTGCTTAAATCTACTTCAGGGGAACAGTTCAGGAAATATTTTTGTTTGAATGCAAACTGTGATCACAACATGTAGTTTTCAAATAAAATAATACGAAAAATGGAAATGGAACAATATATTCAGTGTGACCTCCTTGAAGGTACATGTTATAGGTGTTACAGGATCAAGGTATTAGTAATAATCAAGAAGAACCTTTACAGCGAAACTCCTTCAAAGCACGCATCATTAGGTTGTTCTCCTGGATAACAGGAATGAACCGTTTCGAACAACTTCACATAAGGCAATAAACGTATGGGCGCAACAGCGCACTTGTGTGTTTGTGTGTAGAGTTAAAGCAAAGGCAGATGCAGTGTGCTGGCAGCGTTCTGTGCAGGTCTGCAACTTTTTAAAAGGGGGAATTTCACATGAACTTATTCTTTTCTCTAAAGATGTGATTCATCCAGTAAAAGTATAAAATACACTTTACTTGTTGACCAGGAAGATATTATGGTAACGAAAACATAGTTATCTTTTTTCCCTTTTAACAAACCCCACTGTGTACAGACAATTGTAAAATTTGTGTTTTCAACAATGGAAAAAACTTTATAGGCTGATGATTATTTCTGAGTATTTATGGCTGTATTAATGAGAGTAGAACAAAAAATTTCTGGTCCAAACTTTTAAATTGATATAATGAAAACTGCAAATCCTAAAAAGCTGAGATGGGCTTCTTCAGTGCTTTAACAATATAGAACAGCTTATAAATACAAATTAGTTAAAATCTTAACATAGGCTGTAGAGATATGGATAATTTCACCCTGGAAACCTGCACTCAAGGCTTAGCCTTTAGCCTTTTGCTTTCTGTTACTAGTGTGAGCGCTTGGTTATGAAGCATGCTTCGTTCACGTTGTGCTGACATCAACTTCATACTGTCAGTTTGGAATGAATAATACAAAACTTGATGTCCCTGTCTATAAAACTGCTAAAGCTGAGCAGACCCTCAGCATATTCTAACTCTTCTGACTACCACAGGTGAAATCATTTTCCATGAAGTTTTAGGAGCTGAGGTCTTGTGCATGTTTTTTATTTGTCCTCTGCATCTGCCTGAATCTTTGTTTGCTGATGGTGGTTAATATTTCACACTGAACTTTGTCACAGTAAATCTAAGCAGAAGTAAAGGGGAACGCATAGTAAAAGAGTTGGAAAGCAGTTATATTGGAAGGATGCTTTTTTTTTTCTGTAAAAAGAGTCTCAGCAAGGCTTATTGGTAGTTGTACCTTAGAAGATGACATATGAAAAAATCATGCATGAATCAATATCAGTAATTCTTGTCATTAGCAAATAATTGTAAATACTATATATAAAATATATAAATAGCAAGTGATTATAAATAAATACTGGGGGGAAAATTTCACAATAGCAGCTCCAGATGCACTGAGTTAGCTCAACGTATCCTCTCTCCCCTCCTGAAAGTAGAAGATGGCAAACCAGTTCAAGGGCCTTGAAATGTTTATGCTTTGTTTTTTAATTAGAAACTTGAATTTTGCTTTTCTTCTATGGGATCAAAACTTAGAATCATTACCATTTGCTAAAGTTGTTAAACTGTAAATTTTTTCACAGAAAGCTGCTCACTGATTTTTTTTCTGATCCTTTTTAAAAAACTATTGGCAATGGTTTAATCATTTGCTATTTATTTAAAATATATTTATTCTATTTTAGAGAAAAATGTACATAGATAGATGCTTATGGAAATTTAGAGTTTCTCTGTTTTGAAAGCTGTCACAAGATACAGCAGGGACATTGCTAGATCTAAAATGCATAATATGAAAAAAATAGCTTTTCCTTCTGGGCACAGTATGGATATGTCACAGTGAGAAAAGGAGCAAAGCTACCAGCATAGTTTGGAGAGAGGGAATAAGAGGCAGTTCACGATGCCTCTAAATTCCTTTCTGTAATGTAGAAAACAAAGATTCCTGTCTGCCTTCCGCTCCTTTCCCTGCAGACTGATGCACAAGTATCCAAACAGTTTAGGAACTGAGAAATACAAACTTGTGTAGTGGTTTTTATCCTTTCCTGTATCTACTGAATTTCCAAAAAAAAAAAAAAAAAAAAAGAGAGAGAAGAAAAATGCAGTAGAAATTATTCTCTCTGAGCTTTTGAGTTCCAAGATTTAAATCACAAAACACATCCCCAAGCTGACAGCTGCTAGGAGCAGGGTCAATAGCAGAGGGAGGGCATTGGAAAATGCCTGGTGGGCGCTGCTGTAAGCAGCAGTAGAAGTCAGGCCACTATTTCTTTCCAGCTCTCTCTGTGGAGTGTGATAAGGGAGTTTTAAAGACTTGGAACAACTTCCCTTGAAGCAAAAAGTTGGAATCTATCCTACTTGCCATGAGTTGCCTTAATCCCCTCCTCCTCTTCAGCTTACACCTGCCTGCTCTCTTCTCATGACTTTGGTCTGCGTCAAGAGGAAAAGTGAGGTGATGAGAGAAATGTGAAGTGCTTTACATGATATTATGATATTATTTACATGATATTTACATGATATTATTTCTCTGTGCATTTGTGTGCTGAGGAAGAAACATGTGGCTTAACATCAAGTCTTCCTTTGTTCATTTTAAGCACAGCATGTTTAAAAAAAAAAGGCAGCAAAATCTGTTCCTAAAGGAGATGTACGGTTCCATGCAGAATCCAGTCCTTTGGGTTCTGCAGATCTCTATACAACTGAGTCTTCGCTGGCGTGTTTGCAGAGGCAGTCACTTAGTTTAGAGCATGACAAAGTGGCAAAACTCTTTGGCATGTTGCAGTTCCTACTGCTTAGAGTCACATGTAATGTTAGTCACACACTGAGACACATCTTCACATTCGTTAGTATCCTCATGTTGAACGAACCAGGAGAGCGACATTGGATATAAAGAGGACATTGCAGTGCTTCTGAGGAAGAAGTTTCGATTATGACTTCTCAACTGTGAATGCCATTTTGTTATAGCATTTCACTTCTTGTTTCTATGCCATCTAGCTCATGGGGAACAATTAATCTTTAAAAAAAAATGCAACATTAAAATTATATTAACACTGAAATAGCATGTTACAATCTCTCAGAAACTGCAGTTTTCATTTCTAGGAATTTTGCTTTAAATTATAAATAAGATACAACTAATTTGTTTATTCACATTGTTATTTAATAAAAATACATTTAAAGTTAAAATATTGTAGCACCACCAACCTAATTACTTTGTTCACTGTACCTACATATACAGTCTTTCAACATTTAACAAAGATTTGCTATGGGAGTGAGTGGAGAGCACTACAATGAGGAACAATTTTATTTACTGCAAAACTCTCCAGGTGAAAGGCTATCCCTAAAGCAGAAGATGCAACAGTTTTCATGATGGCGATTGATATCTAACTATTTGGTTTCTGGGGTTTTATTTGTTTATTTTTCCTTTAACTTGTAGAACCACATCACGGCCTTTGCAGAAGTCACATGATGTTGACGCTGATGTTTATTCACTCCATTGGACTTCATCTCTTTTCACAGCCCAGTCACGATAATTGCAGTGTATCCAAAATAAGAAAATTTAAAAAGTCCTATTTCTGACTTGATTTTTACATGATTAGAATGATACCAACATTTTGAAGAATTCTTAAATATTAAAACATCACTTACTTTGCTTTCCAGCAAAAATATTAAACAACTGTTTACTTTTTGGTGGAATGGGACAAACTGAGCGCTAATTACATTTATCTGACAATACCCTCTATTTTGGCTTCTCATTGTTTTTAATGGTTCATATACCTATTCCAGCAGCACGTCATATTTTGATTTGAATTTGATTTTTAAAATCTGCATTTTTAATTCAGCATGAATGTTTTTCCATTTAAGGCAGTTTCAGTGTATAAAAACGAGAAAAAGATTTACGTTCTGTATGAAAATGCTGTTTGCACAATTGTATTACACTCTATTCCATGTAAGATATCATTTAAACTGTATGTTATATGTAAGACTGGTGCTTCTGCTTTTGAAGAGAAAAAACCCGCCAATTTTTACTGTAATAAGTATTATATCATAATTAAAAGTTTATTTATTTGGATATTTTCCTGACATAAATGTAGTTGAATTGTTGTTTTGTAGTTCTTGAATGTCTTGGATGATATATATGTATCTAGGTTAAAAGAGATGAAAGTAACGTAGAAATTTTGATCATTAATATTCCTTATTGATGATATCCCATGATAGGCTAAAGGCTCCATTCTTAGTTCAGCATATCTGATGGGAAGTAGTGCTAATCCTAAAACATTTAAATCATTCAAGGAAGCCTGCATCTTCTACTCACATGTTTATTGTACACCCTGATATGCTGGAAGAATGGGTGCTAAGATGTGAGAATATATGAGATATTTCTCACTGGCTTAGTGAGAAAAGTACATATGTGTTTCTACTCTCCATTTTCACCTTGGAGCACTCATGGAAGAAACAAAATGACTGCATAAAGTGACCAGAACAGGTGAAATTTATCTCTAGAAAGCTTTCTATCTCTGTATTTCAGGGCCATATTCTTGCAGAAAGAATATTCTCTGTCAGTCTGTGCAGTGTTGATAGGAATTGATTTTTTCAGCATCAGGCAATGGTATCGTATCTCATTTGTCACTGTGAGTAATCAAATTGAGTGTCCCCTTCAAAAGACAGCCTTGCTGCCTATTTGTAGTGAAGTTGTCCTATAAAAATTGAGAGTGGAATGGATTTGAATATTGTAGGTGCTGAAGATACTCATAGCATCTGCCAGAAAGTTTTCCTTTGGCAACAGTGGGTACAACACTACCACTATAAATACATCAGGAACAGTAATGTTCAGTGATCTGTTGAAACAGGCATAACATTTTAGGCCTTAAATTTTTCCTAATACACTGTATTTCCTGTGCATTAATCATTGGTAGAAGTTGTTTGAAAGACATGACTGTAGAATCAGGTATATATTTTATATGTTGAATTTTAATACATTCCCACATAGTCATCCAGGGAATACATGCTTTTTATTTTTTATTTTAACCTCTGCTTTCACTGAAATACTTACCTACCACTACCTAAATATTGCTTGGGAAGCAAAGCGAGGCCAGGTCTTCTCTGAGTGCAATAGAGCGTATCTCACAAAGTCATTGTGCTAAGCTGAGAATTAGAGAATAAAGAAATACATCAGTGGGGAAGAAAGCCCTAGAATAGAGCCCTTAGCTACAAGAACGTTACTTAGGTGATTGAAAAGCCACCTTTATTAGACTATCAATCAATCAATCAACTGTGTTTACAAAATTGTAGTAGGTCTAAAATTTGTTTCACCACATTAGGCACACTTACTTACCCTTTCCTTTGTCTAGCTATTTAGGGCCCAAGGTACTAATGATTTCTCTGTATGCAGATTTAAATGAAATCTTCACTCATTTTTGCATGGTAGCAAACCTGCATTTTTTTTATATCTGATTTATAAGATTACCAACAGATTTCTTTTATGTTAAAAGAGATGACTCTTTTTTCAGTGTACTGTATATAATCAGCTTGTAACTGGTCTCTTTCTCTCTCAGGATCTTTCCCAGTCAAATATTTGGGTTAAATTTATCATGTTATCTTTGTGAACCAGCAGTGAGAAAACAAAAAGAGATACACTCTACTGTATAATGTATTTTTAAATAAAATAATTTTTCATTCACGTGTACTGTATTTTTTTTAGATATCTGCTCTAGTTGTATATTGGTTGGTAGTCTACGTGTAATGAAATGATGATTTTAGAAGTCAGCTGCATTTCATGATAAGTTTTCACAGTTAACCAGGAATCTCCACAGTTAACCACCTTCACCTAGAGTTGATTCTGATGCAACTGAACAGCAAGAAAGGAAGAGCTGTATTGCAGAAGAGTTCACAGCTTGTTAGTGAAGGGCTCTCCACCAGGATGTGGGCCAGTCATGCCCCAGACTCTGCCTTGCTTAATTTGGAGAAGAGGCTAGAAATCAACTCTCCCATACCTGTAGTGGCTTCACTGCCCTGGAGCATGGGCATTTGCAGTTCCTTTCTGGACCTGAAAAAGCTTTCAGTAAGAACAATTTGCCAAAACAAAAATAAGTTGGCATTTTCTCACTAAAATGGCTTTTTGGTGGTTGCTCTTTAGAAAAATCCCATTGAGGATTCTCTGACAAGCCAAGCACCATCTCTCCGTCTGGAAAATATTCCGGCTCAGAGTAAAAATATTCCGGCTTCCCAGTAAAAAACACAGTAGCTGAAGGTAGCATTTCACTGGTTTTCAATGCAGCTGTTCTTATGATCTCCTCGTGGACCTTTTCTGTGTGTACTTCACTGAAACAACTCCACTCTATATAAATGAGATGCTTAAGAAGCATTTATAATGCTACATGCTGCTGTGTTCCTAAAAGTGGAATTCATAAGGCATATGGGGACACCAGCTGGGCTCATATCCATACCATTTTAGATTCACTTAGATGTATTCTGCTGTTTGTTCATAATCATGAACTGTGTAAGACATACGGCGACAGCATCTGGGCTCACATCTATTCAGCTTTTAAAAATGTTCATTTTAACAATGTGCATTAAAAGAGAATAATGCTGCCATTTTTCAGCTGCAATTTTCTTTGCTATTTGCTGTTGCCTTCTAATTTTGTTGCTGTCCAAGATCACAGTGAATGTGACAGTCCATTTGCACATTATGTTAGCAAGGAGCTTTTTCTACTCTTCCTAAGTCTAATTTTGGTATTTTTGAGCCTTGCCGTGCAGGAAGCAGAGTGCATTACATTTTAAGAACAGATAAGCTGAGTCTGCTTTGACTTGACCAAATATATCCCTGGCCCTCTGCATTGTCTGACCCTTGGGGATGCTCAGGAGCATCTTGCCAGGCAGAGGATTGAAGGAAGGGGAACAGATTTCCAGACTGCTCAGCCCTTTCAGTGCCCTGCAGTACCCCCCTCCAAGCAGTCTGGATGATCCACCAGCAGGAGTATTTTCAGCAGGTGCTGCCTCTGACAGCTGATTCGACACCAGCGCACCAGACTTCCCTGCTGTACCCCAGCATCTTTCATCTCCCCTCAGCTGCCTTTCAGAAACTGGACGGATCAGGCGAGATACCACCCCCTCACCCAGAAGTGCATTACGAGCTTGACCACAGCTGGAGCCAGAGTTTGCCTGGTCTTCTGTTAAACAAGTGGAAAGCCAAATTAATGGGTGTCTATCGTGACTTCAACCCTTGGGCCTTTTACTCCACTTTCTAGACCTTTTGGCTCTCAGAGACTTTCACAAAGGAAAGCAAAAGAAAACTTCACAGCTCTCTGTCTACTGTGTAATCTCCCACTGTATGCCCTGCGTTTTGACAGATCTACTCTTGTTGGCCACCAGGAATTTTCCAGTGGAACTACTAAAACGCACTGTGCATTGCCTCTTTGTCATTCCACACCATTGTGAGGATGGCTGGAAAAAGTCTTTAGGGTTTCCAGCCTTGACCTGATATTCTGGGAAGAGGAAACTCTGTGAGTACCTCAGAAGTACATATGACCCTATCAGAGCAGAAATTGGTGTGAGGGAAGGTGGCAGCCATAACATGACTTGTCTTGTGCCTTAAGCCTCGTCCTTGCCTCAGCACTCTCTCAGGGTTGCCCTGCCAAGGTATAACTGTAATGGGTTTGCTTTAGACATTAAACCCCGTATATTTACCTCATCATGAAGCTCGAGTCCACGTCCAGCGCAGAGTTCTGGTACCTCGGTCCCTGCGCAATACTGAAGCTTGGTCTGGGCACCTGAAGGAAAATCCTTAAAGAATTCTAGTAAGTCCAGTGTATTATTTAAGAAACCTGTCCCCGGTATCTGAAACACGCTGTCCCAGACAACTTGGTGGTAAGGCAGCTAATCGCTAAGGCTGGCCTCAAAGATGGTTTGCTCCCAGTTGCCTGAAAGGCTATCAGGATCTCAGCATGTTTGATGATCACTCTGGCTGTAAATGATGCAACTAGCTAGTGCCTAGCCTCCAAATAATTTTTTTCTGACAAGGACAGTAACATCCAGTCTTTTGCCTATCACAGTCTCGGACTGAGTTTCTTCTATTCCAGTTTTCAGCTCTTCGTACTACATTTTGCTGTGAAGTGTGAAATTCATGAGGCATATGGGGAGAGTGACTGTGTTCACAGCCAGGCTATTTTAGATACTCCTGTATCTTCTACTCGTGGTCCGTTATCGTGAGCTGTATAGAACTTGCACATTTGGAAGTAAGCTAATTTACCTGAATTAAGACAATTTAATTCTGAATAAAAGTATACACCCAGTGGTTTTATGAGATTCTAAATAATCCACACAAGATCTCCAGCTAATTCAAATAAACTGTCCTGAATTGTTCCCTGTGTGGACAAGCCCAAAGCCTCTTTTTCCCAGCGGAGCTCTACTATTAAAACACCCTCCCTTAGTGAGAACAGCCAGAGCAGTGTGCTGTAGCCAGCCTCCTCTAGTGGTCACGTCAAAAGAATAATCATACCTGAATTTTACGGATGCTAATGGCTTCATGAGTGGACTGGGTTCAGAGGACTGCTCTTGTGCTCTGAAAGCAAATAAGAATAGGCATGATGGTAAACTCCAACTGTGAGATTACCTAATCCTCAGAGATGTGGTCTCCGGGAGAGAGCCCAGTAAAGACTTTTAGTTCTCAAACCAAATTTCGTGCAGCAATGTTCTCACCTGACAACATTCAGATCAAAAAAAACCCCAAAAACAAAAACCCCAATCCCTTCTTTCCCCAAAAAACAGTGTTGTACCTAAATACATACTCCCTCCAACCACAAAGAATTTGTGGCATTGCTGACAATTTTTAATGTGGTTCTAAATGTAAGGATCTTGGGTAGTGGTTTCCTAGGATGGCTCTGAAGTAGAGAAATACCCCTAAAAAACAGTAAGCATTTCTACAACTGTAGAAGAAAAACTGAGGAGCTCAGTTTCATTACGGTGCTCAGAATCATTACAAAATGAGAAAGGAGTGTGAATTTCAGAGACAAGGAAAATGCCTTCTTATATTCAGTAGCAGATGTGCTAATTTCAAGTAGATTTGCTGGATTTTCTAACTTAAAATACCAGTACTGTAGTGCGTTTCTGCACTCTTGGAATACTGCACTAGGTGAGAATTGCTGCTATTAGTCTGCTGTTTCTGCTAATAAATTATTGTTTCATCCTCTTTTGCTACTGCTGATTAAAGCAGCAGCTACTGTTCCTTCCTTGGAAACCTCTATTTATACAATGGCAACTGACAGCCTAAAGATATTCTATTCCAGTATCCTGAAAATAAGTCTAATGTGATGGAAGTGAAGTGCTCATTTTGGAAAACAAAAAAGCTCTTTGGCTCTTGTTTGAGACAGAAGGCTTGAAGCTAAAAAAAAAAAGCAGGAATAAAACAAGATCCTTACCTTTTGTCAATATTTTGCATTGCTGTTAAGACGGGGTGATCTTTTTCGAGATTAATATCCTACTTTTCTGAGCAACTAGAGAAAACATTAAAAGCATGTAGTTTTGAAGCATATAGTCTTCCAGAGAGAAAGAGAGAATATCCTTGTTTCTGTTTTGTAACAAGTTTGGGTGAGATAATCTAAGCTGAAGCCTGAATCTGAATACAAAGGCAGTTTCAGAGGACATGACTAAGCTTTGAATTAGGCCTCAACTATAGGCCACCAGATAAGAATGCAGCACCTCCTCTCCTATTCTCTCACGCCCCAACTCCAGCCTGCACTAAAGGACCATTAGCAAGGCTGCAAACACAGTTTTTGCATTAGCTGTGAGAAGGACTCAGGAGAGCTGCAACTTCCTGTATCGCTGCCTGCTCTGCAGTCCAGAACTGAGGTACACAGCCATTCTCCCTGCTACTGGGGAAAAATGGTGCCAAATGTTTTCAGAATGACAGATAATTGTAGGACACCAGACTGTGGTCTCAGACACTGATGAGTATTTGCACATTTGTACTGTTATGTTTTGCTCTTCCTAGATAGACCTAGTTGTGACAAGAGGCTGCAAGCTCACAAAGTACGATGATCAGTGGTTATCCCTGGAACAGAGAAATGCTCTTTCACCTACCACATGGTGACTAGAATTATCATGTGAATTTATCAACTGTGTCTTCCAGAAGCTTTAAGACATTCTGGCGTAGCCTATTTCCAGGACAGGATGTTATCAGAGGAGGCTTTCAGAGGCTTTCATTTCTTATTCCTTGAGCAATGGTGATTTCCATTCATTTTCTGTAACAGATACTGTCTTTTTTTATATGCCAGTTTCTTATTCTTGATTACTTTTTGAACTTATTTGCTCTCCCATGTTGATCTTTTATTGTTCTTATTACCAGATGGCATAAAGAGCTTTGCAGCATACATTAATCTAGCTTTAAAAATTTTCCATTTTCCTTCAGTGCCATTCCTCTTCACTGAGCTTTACACTTTAGCAGTGTTTAAATGTGTCGTCATCTTCCTCAGTTTTTGGTCTTGGTTTGCAGTTTACCATTTGTCTTAGACTGTATCATAGATAAATAGTTAGCTTTACCTTGGCACTTTTCTGCATTTTCCATCTAGGCTCTCATCTCCCTATGGCTGCAGTAAAACTGGGAAGTTCTGCTTAGTTATTGGGTGTGACTGCTGGTTTCAGAGCAGGAGTGCAGGCAAGGAGAACTGTGAGACTTGGCAAAAG